ACAGCTGGTAGCTCTGATTCCGCGACATGTAAGTAGCGCATGTTGGTGACGGCGCTGACGAACGGCTTGACTGACGGTTTGCGGGGTGGGACGTTTTGTATGCACAGCCAGCGACAAAAGTATTGAGACGTGGCAGATCGCGCTCATCATTTGCTGTGGTGTGTTGGTCTTCACGGTAGCAGTTGTGTCGGTGCTCTCATGTTACTGCAAAGCACGGAACCGACTGAACGAGAACGAGGACGACCGAGCGGATGCCACCTACTACCAGCAGCAGTACCCGCGCCAGCGCGACGACGGTGTTGGATTAGAAGGCGTGGCCACGCCTGCCATGTTTTCGCAACGACCAGCGAGTTCTTATTGTCACGCACGGTCCGGGAGCTCTGGCAGCTTGACAAACGAAACGAAGCTCATGTACGCTAGTTCCGCCAACAGCGGTAGCTCCGATATGCTGGGCACAGGACTCTTGCCCGTTCACAAGCGCACTAGCTCGGGTGGTCCGTTCGGATCAGTCGGTAGCTGTACGACGGACTTTCGACCGAGTGCGAGCAACGTATCAGCCGGACGTCAACTTCGGCCAGAGCAGACCTGCAGCTCAGCACGCCAGGCCGACGTGGAACTATAGCGGTCACGGTTCGTGGTCGAGACTTGCTGGCGTGAAGTTGTCGTGATCACGAGTACAACGCGCGCATGACGTTACACAACCCGGCGAGCAGTGGTAGAGCGGACAGCAGCGGGTACAAAAGCCGCGGTGGCATACTGGAAAGCATGTCGACGACAGCATCGAAAAGAGTCCGATTGAGTCGCTTCCGCCGCCCGTGCATGACTTGGCTCGCAGCGTCTGGAACAGGAGACGATGCCAAGGGACATGTGCTGCATCTCTCTTGCCGTCGTCTCGTACGCCAACCGTTTGCATCTCAAATGAGCAGAGAGCGCGAACCGGTGTTTTGGACGTTGCAACGAGGTTGACAAGAAGTTGTATAAATGTACATGTGGATCTACTGCTACTGCTGCTGCAACGGCTGCTACTGGCGAAGGTGTGCGGATCATTTCATGGAAAGAGCTGTTCTCAAGGGCGTTGTGCGAGGCCGTGTGTCAACCGAAGTGCGAGACGCTCATCGAGGCGTTGCAACACCACTCGAGGGGTCGATCGGTCACTGCTAACGGGACGACCGCCACGCACGTGTGTCCATTCAAAAGTATCTGCAACATCCTGTTTAATCCTTTCCGCTTCTTTGTCGCCATCCAATCGATCGATCGATCGATCGATCGACTGACTCACTGACTCACTAATTGACTGACTGAGTGACTACTGCTGTCGGTTTTGTCGGTATTTCCGTCTGTCGGTCTATCGTCAACTGGTCGTTCGGAGCCCTTTTTGTAAAAGTACACAAAAGTACGCATGACAAGACGCAGTTTTCGGCTGCTCGTCACAATTGATTGACGGACAGCTGGTGCGGGTCAAAGTGTCGCTTAAGTAACCCCACTTCACCGTCTGTCACTTCAGCCAAGCAAAGCGTCAACAGGTCGATCAATCAATCGATCGATCGATCCACGAGTCAGTCCATCATGGGCAGCTCCGGGAAGAAGCGCCGCCGCGCAACGAGCGCCAACAGCGACGACGACGTCCCTACGCAGCGCACGATAGTCGCGACTGACGCATCCGACGTCGACACTGCCGTTCCGTCGCCCCGTGCGCGTCTCCGGTCGCGCGTTGTGGCCCCACCTGGCCGCAACCGCAAGGGCTTTCTGGCCCAATCGCAATTGAGCGAAAAAGACCGACGGCACGTGCGGTACAAGGAGCGCGAGCTCTTGCAGAGCCTCAAGGAGAACGCGAGCGACCTGGCCACGCTGTCGAGCGACACGTTCGACGTGCACACGCAGGAGCTGGACCACATGTACGAGCACGTGTGCTACCCGCGCGAAGCCAATTTGGACGCTAGTAACCTGGACGAGCTCAACGTGGCAGTGACGAAACAGTCGCAAGCGCTGGGTTCGAGTGACTTGACCAAGGTAAGTGAGGCGGGGGTGGTCTAGGACGGCCGTGGGGTTGCTGTGGGGTTGGTTTGCCGTATCGTTTTGGTGGTACTCACTTTTTTCGGACTTGATGTGTTTTCGTGGCGTCCCTTTTTGTGGCAATAACTGGGCTTGCTGCGTGTGTACTGGGGACGGCTGCTGTGCTGTTTGTTTGTTTGTTTGTTTCTTTTGTTTGCTTTTGCTGGATGGCAGTACGAGACGACCGAGCTGATCCGCGCGACGCGCGAGGTGTGTGTGAAAGAGTCGCAGCCTCAAGATTTTGACTGGCATGCGCTGGGAAATGCAGCAGGAGCGTGTTTTCGATCGGTGCCGGAAATCAGTTTCTTGTACGTCGTGTGTTGGCGACGAGAGACTGGTTTGATGCGTTTGTTGGTCCAGACGAGCTGACTTTTGGTTGTTGTGGGGTGGTGGTTGACGTGGTTGTTGTGGTGGTGGTGGGGGGGGGGGTTGTTTGTGGTGGTCGTAGGTTTGGACTAATGGATACGGAAGTGATACGTAAGGAGAGGAAAAAGTCGAGACGAGTGCAAGATGATGTGAATGCTCAAGAAGCACAGCCGACGGAGTATACGAACAAGGTTGGATGACAAGATGGTTGCTACAGGTTTTGGCTACAGCGGCGGTTAACTCTACGACGTGCTGGCGGATTTTCGCACATTGTAGAAGGACCGTAGAGACGCACAGGCGCGACGGTTGGAGGTGCTGCAGTCGACGTTGATTCAGCACGAGAGCCGTCAACCGCTGTTTGACATGGTGATCAATCCAAAGAGCTTTACTCAGGTGCGTCTGGACGTCCACCTCGACCAGCTTTGATTGGCAATCGCGAGCTAAACCATATCTGTTGGCTGTCGCGGTGATGTGTGATTGTATCGCGTTACAGACCGTTGAAAACCTGTTCGACACGTCGTTTCTTGTGCGCAACAACTCTGCTGAGATCGGCGTCGACGAGGACACTGGCCTTCCGTATCTGAGTAAGGGTTTGGATGTGTTCCGATTATTGACTGCTCGGCTTACTGACGCAAGTGGGATCCTGTTTGCAACGACAGGGAATCAGGAAGGAATGGGTGAAGCCAACATACCGGCGTCGACACAGAGTATCATTAGCATCACGCCCGCTCAGTGGCAGCAGCTCGCACAAATGACAGGACGAGATGAACCCATGCTGGGTCACCGGTCATAGCTACGAAGAAGCGTCTTCCAGTTACTGGATCACGCGGCACCAACATGCTTTACTCATCTGTTTGTTGTCAACATGGCTCTTGTGGCTGTTTGCGAATATCGTGCTGTAATCGGTATGCCGAAGATGAGGCGTGTCTGCTTTGCACTCCAACTGCGCACATACTGTGATGCTTGTGTAAGGTGATGCAAAAGGTATGACGGAGGACTGTTCTACCCTGTTTCGAGAAGTACCTGTATCGCTGTCGTCTGTAGAACACGGAGATGGCACCGTTGGCTGGGCTCTGACAACGTGCGGTCGGAGTGTAGTAAGCAGAGAGACCGAATGCGATCGAAGGTGCGAGTCTGCTAGACGTTTGGTGCGGTCGATGCGCTTCGGCGACAGCCAGCATCTCCGCCCTGCTAGGAAGACAAGCTGCAACGGATAGTTCCGTGTCACTCTCGCTGCTGTACGTGGTATTTCGCTTTCACTTGTGCTTCAGTGGTGGCGGCGTCGACAATGGGGACTGCTTGTGTTCGTCTAGAAGGTCGGTAAGGACGATGTGGACGAGAGCAGCGTCCAGATTGCGACACGTCGGTACGATCAGCCTCATCTTGTCGATTGAAACTGCACAGTGACGACCGTCGTTATGACTGATCGTTGTCGTTGATCTCCAACAGCACCTCGATGTCCGTGACGCAGAATGATCGGCGGTGCTTCACTTTTTCAGACAACGTTTCGTCTGCAAATGATGGAGCGGATGTTCATGCATGGTAGACGTCATACCATACCGGTGTGCAGGGTGCACCAGTGGCTCCTTCGCACACACGCCGTTGAGTGAGGCGTGACTGACGTGAATACTAGCGCTCAACGCGACACCGGCGAGAGCGGAGATTTGTCCATGGAGAGTCGATCAGTTGGGGCCGTACGCTTTAGCATACGTCGTGTTGGCACGTTTCCCACCGGACCTCCAAATAACGTTGATGGCGATGGCATGAAAGCAAGCAGTCGGCTGGCTAAGTGTGGTATGTGAATGTAGCCTCTCACGGGTGGTTTGAAGTCGAGCTCGAGACCTCTCCTGAGAATAACAGTCAAGTGAGGGTTGCGGCCGTGGTTCGCTCTTCGCGTTCGCTAACGTGCACTTGGATGGATCTGGATGAAGTTGCCAGCTGTAACGGGTGACCAGCGGGTCAGGGGCAATATCGCGTAGGCACGTTCTGTTCACCCAAATCGAATGTGTGGGCGCGCGCCGGGTCTGGTACTGGCGGCTGTAAAGTTTGTGCGTCTGGTGGCGAGAGGAGCGTGGTGTAGTCTGCGTCTCTTGTAGAAAGCTGGCCAGTACGTCGAAATGATGAGTCGCAAACGCTGCACTGGAAATGATCGTGGATAGGGACATAGCAGTCAGGTTGCTAGCCGTGCAAGATGATTTACGCGAGCCTGCTTGTGCAGAAGTGCTGGCAGAAGTGTCATGGGTTGATCAGAAGCACTGGATGGACCGACAGCAATGTTCCGGTGTGACTGATTCTGATGGAGATCCGGTGTGACTGATTCTGATGGAGATACTACCGTGCCTGATGGCGTATGCACGTGCTACGTAGCGACGCATTGTTTAAATGATGAATGGGTGTGTCCTGATGGAGGTCAGGTCGGACGGATGACTGATGTGGAGATATCGTGTGCCACGGTGCTCAAACAGCTAACGTCGGTCCGACACGGACAAGAGCTCGCATTGCGCGTGAGAAATTACCGAGTTCACCTCGATGTTTATTGGAATTGTGATATATGTATTGCGTTGGACCTAAAATGTTCCCGCTCACGTGCACATGTTCTGATCCTCCTCTTGCGGAGCGTTCAACTCCCTGCCGTCCCAAGGAGTCTGATCACTGTCGTCTACAGCAGCGCCCGTAGTCATCATCGTCGGTGTTAATGTCGGCGCAATGCCACCGTCTGTGGACGTTTCGATGGCGACCTCCGGGGTGGGCATCCATGGCGTCAACGGCGACTCCTGGTCGGGCGTCTCGTCCGTCTCCTGCTCCACACTCGGCGCGGGCGTCACGTGCAAGTCGGGCGTTGTCATCGTCGGTGCGGGCGTGGACGCAACGTCACCGTCCGTGGACGCATCGGTGGCGACCTCCGGGGTGGGCATCCACGGCGTCAACGGCGACTCCTGGTCGGGCGTCTCGTCCGTCTCCTGCTCCACACTCGGCGCGGGCGTCACGTGCAAGTCGGGCGTTGTCATCGTCGGTGCGGGCGTCGACGCAACGTCACCGTCCGTGGACGCATCGGTGGCGACCTCCGGGGTGGGCATCCATGGCGTCAACGGCGACTCCTGGTCGGGCGTCTCGTCCGTCTCCTGCTCCACACTCGGCGCGGGCGTCTCGTCCGTCTCCTGCTCCACACTCGGCGCGGGCGTCACGTGCAAGACGGGCGTTGCCATCGTCGGTGCGGGCGTCGACGCAACGTCACCGTCCGTGGACGCATCGGTGGCGACCTCCGGGGTGGGCACCAAAGGCGTCAACGGCGACTCCTGGTCGGGCGTCTCGTCCGTCTCCTGCTCCACACTCGGCGCGGGCGTCACGTGCAAGTCGGGCGTTGCCATCGTCGGTGCGGGCGTCGACGCAACGTCACCGTCCGTGGACGCATCGGTGGCGACCTCCGGGGTGGGCATCCATGGCGTCAACGGCGACTCCTGGTCGGGCGTCTCGTCCGTCTCCTGCTCCACACTCGGCGCGGGCGTCACGTGCAAGTCGGGCGTTGCCATCGTCGGTGCGGGCGTGGACGCAACGTCACCGTCCGTGGACGCATCGGTGGCGACCTCCGGGGTGGGCATCCATGGCGTCAACGGCGACTCCTGGTCGGGCGTCTCGTCCGTCTCCTGCTCCACACTCGGCGCGGGCGTCACGTGCAAGTCGGGCGTTGTCATCGTCGGTGCGGGCGTGGACGCAACGTCACCGTCCGTGGACGCATCGGTGGCGACCTCCGGGGTGGGCATCCATGGCGTCAACGGCGACTCCTGGTCGGGCGTCTCGTCCGTCTCCTGCTCCACACTCGGCGCGGGCGTCACGTGCAAGTCGGGCGTTGTCATCGTCGGTGCGGGCGTGGACGCAACGTCACCGTCCGTGGACGCATCGGTGGCGACCTCCGGGGTGGGCATCCATGGCGTCAACGGCGACTCCTGGTCGGGCGTCTCGTCCGTCTCCTGCTCCACACTCGGCGCGGGCGTCACGTGCAAGTCGGGCGTTGCCATCGTCGGTGCGGGCGTCGACGCAACGTCACCGTCCGTGGACGCATCGGTGGCGACCTCCGGGGTGGGCATCCATGGCGTCAACGGCGACTCCTGGTCGGGCGTCTCGTCCGTCTCCTGCTCCACACTCGGCGCGGGCGTCACGTGCAAGTCGGGCGTTGCCATCGTCGGTGCGGGCGTCGACGCAACGTCACCGTCCGTGGACGCATCGGTGGCGACCTCCGGGGTGGGCACCAAAGGCGTCAACGGCGACTCCTGGTCGGGCGTCTCGTCCGTCTCCTGCTCCACACTCGGCGCGGGCGTCACGTGCAAGTCGGGCGTTGTCATCGTCGGTGCGGGCGTGGACGCAACGTCACCGTCCGTGGACGCATCGGTGGCGACCTCCGGGGTGGGCATCCATGGCGTCAACGGCGACTCCTGGTCGGGCGTCTCGTCCGTCTCCTGCTCCACACTCGGCGCGGGCGTCACGTGCAAGTCGGGCGTTGTCATCGTCGGTGCGGGCGTGGACGCAACGTCACCGTCCGTGGACGCATCGGTGGCGACCTCCGGGGTGGGCATCCATGGCGTCAACGGCGACTCCTGGTCGGGCGTCTCGTCCGTCTCCTGCTCCACACTCGGCGCGGGCGTCACGTGCAAGTCGGGCGTTGCCATCGTCGGTGCGGGCGTGGACGCAACGTCACCGTCCGTGGACGCATCGGTGGCGACCTCCGGGGTGGGCATCCATGGCGTCAACGGCGACTCCTGGTCGGGCGTCTCGTCCGTCTCCTGCTCCACACTCGGCGCGGGCGTCACGTGCAAGTCGGGCGTTGTCATCGTCGGTGCGGGCGTGGACGCAACGTCACCGTCCGTGGACGCATCGGTGGCGACCTCCGGGGTGGGCATCCATGGCGTCAACGGCGACTCCTGGTCGGGCGTCTCGTCCGTCTCCTGCTCCACACTCGGCGCGGGCGTCACGTGCAAGTCGGGCGTTGCCATCGTCGGTGCGGGCGTGGACGCAACGTCACCGTCCGTGGACGCATCGGTGGCGACCTCCGGGGTGGGCATCCATGGCGTCAACGGCGACTCCTGGTCGGGCGTCTCGTCCGTCTCCTGCTCCACACTCGGCGCGGGCGTCACGTGCAAGTCGGGCGTTGTCATCGTCGGTGCGGGCGTGGACGCAACGTCACCGTCCGTGGACGCATCGGTGGCGACCTCCGGGGTGGGCACCAAAGGCGTCAACGGCGACTCCTGGTCGGGCGTCTCGTCCGTTTCCTGCTCCACACTCGGCGCGGGCGTCACGTGCAAGTCGGGCGTTGTCATCGTCGGTGCGGGCGTCGACGCAACGTCACCGTCCGTGGACGCATCGGTGGCGACCTCCGGGGTGGGCATCCATAGGCGTCAACGGCGACTCCTGGTCGGGCGTCTCGTCCGTCTCCTGCTCCACACTCGGCGCGGGCGTCACGTGCAAGTCGGGCGTTGTCATCGTCGGTGCGGGCGTGGACGCAACGTCACCGTCCGTGGACGCATCGGTGGCGACCTCCGGGGTGGGCACCAAAGGCGTCAACGGCGACTCCTGGTCGGGCGTCTCGTCCGTCTCCTGCTCCACACTCGGCGCGGGCGTCACGTGCAAGTCGGGCGTTGTCATCGTCGGTGCGGGCGTCGACGCAACGTCACCGTCCGTGGACGCATCGGTGGCGACCTCCGGGGTGGGCATCCATGGCGTCAACGGCGACTCCTGGTCGGGCGTCTCGTCCGTCTCCTGCTCCACACTCGGCGCGGGCGTCACGTGCAAGTCGGGCGTTGCCATCGTCGGTGCGGGCGTGGACGCAACGTCACCGTCCGTGGACGCATCGGTGGCGACCTCCGGGGTGGGCACCAAAGGCGTCAACGGCGACTCCTGGTCGGGCGTCTCGTCCGTCTCCTGCTCCACACTCGGCGCGGGCGTCACGTGCAAGTCGGGCGTTGTCATCGTCGGTGCGGGCGTGGACGCAACGTCACCGTCCGTGGACGCATCGGTGGCGACCTCCGGGGTGGGCATCCATGGCGTCAACGGCGACTCCTGGTCGGGCGTCTCGTCCGTCTCCTGCTCCACACTCGGCGCGGGCGTCACGTGCAAGTCGGGCGTTGCCATCGTCGGTGCGGGCGTGGACGCAACGTCACCGTCCGTGGACGCATCGGTGGCGACCTCCGGGGTGGGCATCCATGGCGTCAACGGCGACTCCTGGTCGGGCGTCTCGTCCGTCTCCTGCTCCACACTCGGCGCGGGCGTCACGTGCAAGTCGGGCGTTGCCATCGTCGGTGCGGGCGTGGACGCAACGTCACCGTCCGTGGACGCATCGGTGGCGACCTCCGGGGTGGGCATCCAATGGCGTCAACGGCGACTCCTGGTCGGGCGTCTCGTCCGTCTCCTGCTCCACACTCGGCGCGGGCGTCACGTGCAAGTCGGGCGTTGCCATCGTCGGTGCGGGCGTGGACGCAACGTCACCGTCCGTGGACGCATCGGTGGCGACCTCCGGGGTGGGCATCCAAAGGCGTCAACGGCGACTCCTGGTCGGGCGTCTCGTCCGTCTCCTGCTCCACACTCGGCGCGGGCGTCACGTGCAAGTCGGGCGTTGTCATCGTCGGTGCGGGCGTGGACGCAACGTCACCGTCCGTGGACGCATCGGTGGCGACCTCCGGGGTGGGCATCCATGGCGTCAACGGCGACTCCTGGTCGGGCGTCTCGTCCGTCTCCTGCTCCACACTCGGCGCGGGCGTCACGTGCAAGTCGGGCGTTGCCATCGTCGGTGCGGGCGTGGACGCAACGTCACCGTCCGTGGACGCATCGGTGGCGACCTCCGGGGTGGGCATCCATGGCGTCAACGGCGACTCCTGGTCGGGCGTCTCGTCCGTCTCCTGCTCCACACTCGGCGCGGGCGTCACGTGCAAGTCGGGCGTTGCCATCGTCGGTGCGGGCGTGGACGCAACGTCACCGTCCGTGGACGCATCGGTGGCGACCTCCGGGGTGGGCATCCATGGCGTCAACGGCGACTCCTGGTCGGGCGTCTCGTCCGTCTCCTGCTCCACACTCGGCGCGGGCGTCACGTGCAAGTCGGGCGTTGCCATCGTCGGTGCGGGCGTCGACGCAACGTCACCGTCCGTGGACGCATCGGTGGCGACCTCCGGGGTGGGCACCAAAGGCGTCAACGGCGACTCCTGGTCGGGCGTCTCGTCCGTCTCCTGCTCCACACTCGGCGCGGGCGTCACGTGCAAGTCGGGCGTTGTCATCGTCGGTGCGGGCGTGGACGCAACGTCACCGTCCGTGGACGCATCGGTGGCGACCTCCGGGGTGGGCATCCAATGGCGTCAACGGCGACTCCTGGTCGGGCGTCTCGTCCGTCTCCTGCTCCACACTCGGCGCGGGCGTCACGTGCAAGTCGGGCGTTGTCATCGTCGGTGCGGGCGTGGACGCAACGTCACCGTCCGTGGACGCATCGGTGGCGACCTCCGGGGTGGGCATCCATGGCGTCAACGGCGACTCCTGGTCGGGCGTCTCGTCCGTCTCCTGCTCCACACTCGGCGCGGGCGTCACGTGCAAGTCGGGCGTTGCCATCGTCGGTGCGGGCGTGGACGCAACGTCACCGTCCGTGGACGCATCGGTGGCGACCTCCGGGGTGGGCACCAAAGGCGTCAACGGCGACTCCTGGTCGGGCGTCTCGTCCGTCTCCTGCTCCACACTCGGCGCGGGCGTCACGTGCAAGTCGGGCGTTGCCATCGTCGGTGCGGGCGTCGACGCAACGTCACCGTCCGTGGACGCATCGGTGGCGACCTCCGGGGTGGGCACCAAAGGCGTCAACGGCGACTCCTGGTCGGGCGTCTCGTCCGTCTCCTGCTCCACACTCGGCGCGGGCGTCACGTGCAAGTCGGGCGTTGCCATCGTCGGTGCGGGCGTCGACGCAACGTCACCGTCCGTGGACGCATCGGTGGCGACCTCCGGGGTGGGCATCCAATGGCGTCAACGGCGACTCCTGGTCGGGCGTCTCGTCCGTCTCCTGCTCCACACTCGGCGCGGGCGTCACGTGCAAGTCGGGCGTTGTCATCGTCGGTGCGGGCGTGGACGCAACGTCACCGTCCGTGGACGCATCGGTGGCGACCTCCGGGGTGGGCATCCATGGCGTCAACGGCGACTCCTGGTCGGGCGTCTCGTCCGTCTCCTGCTCCACACTCGGCGCGGGCGTCACGTGCAAGTCGGGCGTTGCCATCGTCGGTGCGGGCGTGGACGCAACGTCACCGTCCGTGGACGCATCGGTGGCGACCTCCGGGGTGGGCACCCAAGGCGTCAACGGCGACTCCTGGTCGGGCGTCTCGTCCGTCTCCTGCTCCACACTCGGCGCGGGCGTCACGTGCAAGTCGGGCGTTGCCATCGTCGGTGCGGGCGTCGACGCAACGTCACCGTCCGTGGACGCATCGGTGGCGACCTCCGGGGTGGGCATCCAATGGCGTCAACGGCGACTCCTGGTCGGGCGTCTCGTCCGTCTCCTGCTCCACACTCGGCGCGGGCGTCACGTGCAAGTCGGGCGTTGCCATCGTCGGTGCGGGCGTGGACGCAACGTCACCGTCCGTGGACGCATCGGTGGCGACCTCCGGGGTGGGCATCCATGGCGTCAACGGCGACTCCTGGTCGGGCGTCTCGTCCGTCTCCTGCTCCACACTCGGCGCGGGCGTCACGTGCAAGTCGGGCGTTGCCATCGTCGGTGCGGGCGTGGACGCAACGTCACCGTCCGTGGACGCATCGGTGGCGACCTCCGGGGTGGGCATCCAAAGGCGTCAACGGCGACTCCTGGTCGGGCGTCTCGTCCGTCTCCTGCTCCACACTCGGCGCGGGCGTCACGTGCAAGTCGGGCGTTGCCATCGTCGGTGCGGGCGTCGACGCAACGTCACCGTCCGTGGACGCATCGGTGGCGACCTCCGGGGTGGGCACCAAAGGCGTCAACGGCGACTCCTGGTCGGGCGTCTCGTCCGTCTCCTGCTCCACACTCGGCGCGGGCGTCACGTGCAAGTCGGGCGTTGTCATCGTCGGTGCGGGCGTCGACGCAACGTCACCGTCCGTGGACGCATCGGTGGCGACCTCCGGGGTGGGCACCAAAGGCGTCAACGGCGACTCCTGGTCGGGCGTCTCGTCCGTCTCCTGCTCCACACTCGGCGCGGGCGTCACGTGCAAGTCGGGCGTTGTCATCGTCGGTGCGGGCGTCGACGCAACGTCACCGTCCGTGGACGCATCGGTGGCGACCTCCGGGGTGGGCATCCATGGCGTCAACGGCGACTCCTGGTCGGGCGTCTCGTCCGTCTCCTGCTCCACACTCGGCGCGGGCGTCACGTGCAAGTCGGGCGTTGTCATCGTCGGTGCGGGCGTGGACGCAACGTCACCGTCCGTGGACGCATCGGTGGCGACCTCCGGGGTGGGCACCAAAGGCGTCAACGGCGACTCCTGGTCGGGCGTCTCGTCCGTCTCCTGCTCCACACTCGGCGCGGGCGTCACGTGCAAGTCGGGCGTTGCCATCGTCGGTGCGGGCGTCGACGCAACGTCACCGTCCGTGGACGCATCGGTGGCGACCTCCGGGGTGGGCATCCATGGCGTCAACGGCGACTCCTGGTCGGGCGTCTCGTCCGTCTCCTGCTCCACACTCGGCGCGGGCGTCACGTGCAAGACGGGCGTTGCCATCGTCGGTGCGGGCGTCGACGCAACGTCACCGTCCGTGGACGCATCGGTGGCGACCTCCGGGGTGGGCATCCATGGCGTCAACGGCGACTCCTGGTCGGGCGTCTCGTCCGTCTCCTGCTCCACACTCGGCGCGGGCGTCACGTGCAAGACGGGCGTTGCCATCGTCGGTGCGGGCGTGGACGCAACGTCACCGTCCGTGGACGCATCGGTGGCGACCTCCGGGGTGGGCATCCATGGCGTCAACGGCGACTCCTGGTCGGGCGTCTCGTCCGTCTCCTGCTCCACACTCGGCGCGGGCGTCACGTGCAAGTCGGGCGTTGCCATCGTCGGTGCGGGCGTGGACGCAACGTCACCGTCCGTGGACGCATCGGTGGCGACCTCCGGGGTGGGCACCAAAGGCGTCAACGGCGACTCCTGGTCGGGCGTCTCGTCCGTCTCCTGCTCCACACTCGGTGCGGGCGTCACGTGCAATTCGGGCGTTGTCATTGTCGGTGCGGGCGTCGACGCAACGTCACCGTCCGTGGACGCATCGGTGGCGACCTCCGGGGTGGGCACCAAAGGCGTCAACGGCGACTCCTGGTCGGGCGTCTCGTCCGTCTCCTGCTCCACACTCGGCGCGGGCGTCACGTGCAAGTCGGGCGTTGTCATCGTCGGTGCGGGCGTCGACGCAACGTCACCGTCCGTGGACGCATCGGTGGCGACCTCCGGGGTGGGCATCCATGGCGTCAACGGCGACTCCTGGTCGGGCGTCTCGTCCGTCTCCTGCTCCACACTCGGCGCGGGCGTCACGTGCAAGTCGGGCGTTGTCATCGTCGGTGCGGGCGTGGACGCAACGTCACCGTCCGTGGACGCATCGGTGGCGACCTCCGGGGTGGGCACCAAAGGCGTCAACGGCGACTCCTGGTCGGGCGTCTCGGGAATCATTGTGCCTGCCTCGTCTTTTGGCGAGATAGGCTCCGTATCGGTGTCAACGCCTCCATTCATGATCGTTTTTTCACTCTCGCTGCTAGTCGAGTTACAAGCAAGTGACAGCTCGAGTAACTCTTGGACGTGGGCATAGCTAACACCGGTACTCGTGACTGTCAGCGTGTCGGGCTTGTGCGTGGGAAACCACAAGAAGTCGGGGTGGTCGGTCTTCGAGCTTCCAACCCACTCGCCGCCAATGATGTTCTCATCCGCGTCGAGCTCCAGAAGGTACTCGTAGTCGTTCGACACGATGTAGCCGCCGCCATTTTTGTCGTCGAGCGCCAGCGGGCCATCGGCTTTGGCCGCAGCAGCCCAAGTGACTGTGGTCTTGACGTACGCCAACTGGACCATCTCGGTGTTGAACGGGTAGACGCTCGTGCCAAAGTATTTGTTGCAAACTTCAGCAGTGTCAACGATCTCCATGGTGCGCACATTGTACGACTCGACCGGCTGGTTCCAGACTTCCAGTCCAGCGACTACATCCATCACGAGCAAAGTCTGGTGTTTGCCCATGATGTTGGTGATGGCAATGTGGAAGAAACCAGCGCCTGTGTCACGGCGGGCTGCGCACGTGTAGCGTCCGTATTGGTCGACGTCGGAAGCCGTATCGGGGCCATCGAAGCGCGCGCCAGTGAACACGGTCGAGACCGCAGCGCCGTCGTACACTTCCGTCAGCAGCGCTTTGATGTCGAGTACACGGAACGTCACGTTGTTCATCTCGACGCTACACTTTGGCTCTTGCTCCAGCAGTGCAGCAGACGCCCATGCGTGGCAAAGGCCATACCATCGAGGGATACAATAGCCGCTTGAGGCGCCGTCTCGTTTTGCACATTCGCCGCTGCCGTTGCAGTCAGCGGTCTGACGGCACACTTTGCCCCTCGCGCACGAGTCAATACCGTTCGTGGCAGAGATTTTGTCCTGGAACTCGTGGACGTTGAGGCCATAGGCTGCAGCGTACTTTGCCGATACCGCGACTTCCCCACTCTTCCAGACGTGGTTGATGCTGTCCTGGAAAGTGGGCCAGTAGCTGCTCGGCCACGGCGTGGCCGAGCTCGAGGCGTGGCAATAGTGCTGCTTCAGCGACATGAAGCTGACGTCCAGTTGCTCGCCGAAGTACGCCGCAAGGTCGTTCATGTCCGACGACGAAGGTGTCGAGTGCTCCATGTCGTGCAGCCGGCGAGACGTCACGTTGGTCTCGACCGCAATCGCCTGAGCAGTTGCTTCGTTCGGGTCAACCGCAATGACCGGTTGGACGTGGTCGCTGTTGAGCTTGGCACCGTACGCTGGATGGGAAGCCGTCAGTGGCGCATTGAGGTCAACCGGGGTGTACGGGTTATACTCGAGCGGCGCTGCGTGCACGAGAACGGTCGACGCAGCGCACAGTGTGGCGTGAACGACCACGATGCGTGCGACTTTCATCACCATTGGAAGACAACAAACGTCTCGACGGGGTATCCGTTGTCAATCCAGAAAGCTGATGCGGTGCGTCTCGGGACGAGCCGAGGAATTCGCAAATGAAGCAGCAGACCGATGCGATCGACTTTGACCGACTCGAAGGTGCGACGTGATGAACGCGCAACTTTGGCTTTGGCGGACAACGGCATAGACTTGAGCCACATGGCGCAGGAATGCGAGGTAAACGCTCAGTGCATTCCCATTGCATTGCATTGGGCGCTTGCTGTCGTTGTTGTATGGTTTGGCTTCCTCTGCTATATTTACTCGGCATCTTATCCTACATATTTACATGTGATATCTATATATGTAATACACATGTTGATGGACATTGACCTCTCACGACTTCGAAGCGTTGCTGGTATCACTTTGTTCGCGACTGATGGACAACGGACTTGTTGCAAAGACGTGGCAATCGGTCTTTCGATCGTGCGTGTGTTTCCGCTGGAAAGAGCTGTTGCATGTGCCGAGGGTTGCACGACAGCAACTCTGGATATGGTAAGGAAGTGCTCGTGTCAGCTCTCATTTGACCACACGGGATCGTCTCCTTTTCATCACGTTTTGACGTGTCGTTGCAATGACGATGGATAACAATCAGCGTGGCGATGTATGCAAATGACTCGATGCTTGACGCAGTCGAGGAGGAAACGCGCTGTGAGAGCGTGTTTGCGATTACCTTTACTTGCGTACGTGTGTGGTCGATTGGTACACCGACTTCGATTCCATGAGAAGCTATCGACAAGTCACCAAACTCGAAGAGGTCTTTGTAGGACACGAATGACGTGTAAAGAGTTCGAAGTAGCGATCGATGTATCTGCGTACCATTCGCATTGATGCGCGAGGGCAACATGAGAAGCACGTGGGCCATGAGGCTGGACATCGTGGGTTTTGGTTCAGATATTCTGGTCATCTGTCGGTACAGTGCTTTGCTTGACAAGACTAAAGTACCGTTTGGTTTGCTAAATGGACGCGATGGATTGGTCGATCGAGTAATGGGATCCCTCCCAGCCGGTGTCATTGACCGAAATTTTGCGACCGTATGCCCGACATCTCCGCAATGGACAAGGTCGAGCATAAGGTCGCAAAATTTCGGTCAATGGCACTGTCGTGAGCAACCACGACATGAAGCGATGGACGTGAGGGCAAAAGATTGAAGCCACATCTCTTTCGTCACAATGTATGTTCTTCAGTCAAGTCACAGATAGAATACGGCCAGAGCGTCGAGGCGGGTCTGGGTCATTTGGCTTTGCACCCCCACTTGGTCTAAGTCGGAGTCCGCACCCCAGGATCAGCCTGATCCTCCATTGCCGTCGCTCTGTTTTCGCTCAGACGCGAGCAAACAGCCTGAACAGTCGAATAAGATCGAGGCTGATGATATCGGTGTACTCGACGTTCGAACTCACATGACCAACTACCAGCTATGGTCTGGTGGACATATGGCGTGAAGAGATAGTCGCATGTCACTGTATTAGCAAAGTAAGTTGCATCACCTCGGTGTTCCGTGCCGACCATGCGAAAAGGACGGGCAGTACATTAGCTACTGGACCTTCTTTCGTTCTCTTTTGTTAAGGTCAACTATGTCGGCGCCCTCCTCAGTGATGGTACGTCGAAGGTCTGTTGCTTCCGTTCCGTTTTGCAAGAGCTTATCGTGACCATTCCTTATTTCTCTCGAGCGGCAACGGCATCTGAGCTTCTTTTGTTGTCCTCTGTAGAGCACACTAGTCCTGCAAAGTGAAGAGGGTCGAAGGGCACGCATGAATAGGTAAAGCGGCGATAAGCGCTTGAGAAGCTCAAAAGTTGTGAAACGAGTGTCTGAATTCTGCAAGTAGAGGTATCTATCTATCTTGACATCTCTGTCTGTATCCTTCAGACACTCGTTGCGTTGTCCATGGGTAGCGGATAACAGGTAGTAGACCTCAATCGGCCATTTTTGTCGTGGAATACTGGACACCGTCTACTGCAAAACACATCTTCATTCTCTCTCGTCTGTCAATAGAATCACCAACCAAGCAAGCATATACAGTACATTCAGCCATTTGATAAGCATGTGCCAACGAAGCAGGGCGGTGTCCAGACCACTTCCGACTGTCTCGAGAGCAAAACCACAGTGTCCGGAGTCGTGGCTTCACCCGTCCTTCAGTCCCGTCGATGTCTGATACGGATGCTTGCTCACCCCCCCCACAAGGCCGATATCATCGAAAGCGTTGGCAAACTCGTCGGATACATCTCCATGTGCAGCACGTCATCGGAAGCATTGACAAACCGGTCTCTCACACCTTTTTCTAGCAGCTGACGCCGAGGGTGTTGCCCAGACTTCTCGGTAAGAGTACCGCATCAAGTCAAACTGCCGAAAGTGCACCTGACCTTCGTCTACCTGCCATTCGTGCACGCTGCTGACGTAGTGTCTTTGATTGTATTGTGGTTTGTGGGTTTGTCACATCCTGCATCTGATCGCACTGCGCTCTCACCACCACGTACGCACCGTTCCAGTACCCAAAGTCCATCGAAAGATTCGAGAATGGCATAACGCTCTCACCAGAACGCATCCGACCTCGTCGGTAGTCCCTTTGATCATCTTCTCACTTCATCGACGCTCACGTGACACTGTATAAATGACTCGATGTCGGGTAGAATCGTCGTCTGGGCTACAAGTGCCATGAACCTGTGCGCCGACGTCCAACCCAAAGGCTTCATCACGCATAGTATCACAATCGATCGGATGCGAGACGGGTTTTCTGCGTGTGTGCAGGGCGTGTGTAATCAAAAATGGGCCACCAACACCCACGGCGAATCCTCATGTATGCAGAAGTCCCCCTATTCGGCGCAGCCGGTGGCTTCCAGCTGTAAAAAACACAAAGAAGTCACGCCAAGAATTCGGCAAAGTGCAAGTAGAGCAAGTAGAGAGTGACTGTCAACTTCAATGAAAGTGTGTGACGGCCCGTATTCAGCTGATTCGGAGACCGAAACAAAATAAAAAAGTAGCTTGATGTAAAAAGCAGCAGATAGCCGCGGTCCTCGTAGGCATCGGACTCACCCGATGCAGTGGCGCCGGCTCCAGCAGAGTAAAGTACGCCCTGAACGTGATCACCACCAGAGCGCAATGTCCCCAAGACGCCGAACCCACTGCAACAGCGCCGAAGTGTGCTGATGCAGTGACTGGTTCCAGTGTTTGGCTGAGTCAGTAACATGCGGAGATTGGGAGGAAGCAGAACCCGTCCACTGGTCGTACGCTCCGTGTGATCCCGTCTCGGACGAGTCCGTCCGCTGCTCGCGCTTCTTGGGTTCGTGCGTCCACTGCTGGTGCGCTCCGTGCGATCCCGTCTCGGACGGGTCCGTCCGCTGCTCGTGCTTCTTGGGCTCGTGCGTCCACTGCTGGTGCGCTCCGTGCGATCCCGTCTCGGACGAGTCCGTCCGCTGCTCGTGCTTCTTGGGCTCGTGCGTCCACTGGTCGTGTGTCTCCGGTGTCTGGGAAACAAGCGGTTTGGTCTGACTGTGGAATACTTTATCCGGACGCTTCCTGCTGTCAAACGACGACATGTGGTACTCTGAATCCGGCATCGCGGCCATCGGCGGCATGGCAGCTTCCTCGCTCTTCGTCGCTTTCGAGCATTGACGCGACGCTCGCACCAGCTCCAGCACATTTGCGTACGAGATGCCCGTGTCCGTGACAGTATCGTGTCGTGGCTTACCCGCGGGGATCCACAGAAAGTCTGGATGGTTCTTCCGACTCGCCCCGAGCCACTCGCCTCCAATGATGGTGTAGTCCTCATCGAGCTCGAGGCAGTACTCGTAGTCCTCGTGCACCGTGTACGCGTCGATCCGTCCCGCGGCCGCCATCGCGTCGTCGTCTTCCATGGACTCGGCTGTCCATAGGAGTCGCGTCGTGCACTTGGCCACGAACGTCGCTGCTGGATTGAACGGATACGTGTCCGAGTCAAAGTGCTCGCGCGACAGCGTCGTGGCATCGACAATCGACGCTTCGAGGAGCTCGTAGCCCTGCACGGGTTCGTTCGACACGGCTGCGTTGGTGCTCACGTCGACAATGAACGACTGGCGGTGCTTGCCGACGATATTGGCCATTGCAACGTGGAAGATCGCGGGGTTCACGTCCTTCTGCGCGGCGTTCGTGTAGCGGCCGTAGCGATCGAGCTCGGGGCCGGAGCCATCCGGGCCATTGAATCGCGTGCCAGTGAACACGACTTGGACTTCTGCGCCGTCGTAGAGCTGCGTGAGCAGCGCTTTGATGTCCACTGCGTGGAACGTCACGTTGTTCTTGTCGACGGCGCACTGCGGCTCGTCTTCGAGTATGGCTGCGGCCGCACGGGCGTGACAGAGGCCGTGCCACGTGGGAATGCACGAGCCGCTGGTGGCATTGCCATGGAGACCGCAGCGACGGTCGCCGTCGTCGTCGTCATCGTCGTCGTCGTCATTGTCTTGCAACGCGGTGCAGTCGGCGTCCGTACGACACGAAGCAGCAGAAGCCCCAGCCGACGACGTCTCGGACAGTACGCCACTGCTCTGTGAGAGCTGTGCGAGGAACGCGTCGACGGGCAGGTGGAAAGCCGCCGCGTACTTTTCCGCCGGAGACAGCTCGTTGGCTCGCCAGACCGCGTTGATCCCGTCCTCGTACGTCGGCCAGTAGTGACCAGCCCACGGCACTTTGTCGCACGCGGCACGGGCGTACGTGTTGGTCAAGACGTGGAAGTTCATCTCCATGGCCGTGCCAAAGAACTCTTCGAGCCGCGCGACGTCCGACAGATCGGGTTCCAACTGACGAGCACTGGCGCGACGCGTTCGGTCGACATCTGTGACACGTTGCGGTCCGCCGAACGCCGGATGACTGTGCGTCAACGTCGCTGTCGATCGTTGTCCGCGTGGTGTCCCGATCGCGTCGCTGATGGCTTCGCCACGGACGGCGGAGCGGGAGGTCAGGGCGAGCGCAATGGCCGTCGACGCTGCGAGCCACGGGGCAAGGGATTTGGAGCATGGGGATACCCGCTGCGGCATTGCAGAGCAGGCGGAACGCGCTGGCGTGGGGTGTGGCGACACTGTCGAGGGCGTTGCGGGGAGCGAGTGCGCTCGAAGGTGCAAGTGGCAAAGTGATGGAGAGGATGGAGCACGTCGCGGCATCGGTGGCATCGACCGATCGACCGACTGTCAGGACCGCTGTCGGTCGCTTTGGATTGCGTCTCCAGTTCGGGGCTGGCAGCGACGTTCGTTGTTGTTTGCTTTGCTTTGCTTTGGTGCTGGCGCTTGCAGCCGCCAGTGTTTGATTCTTCAGCTGTCACGTACGTGTTGCGGATGGATCGAAGACGGGAGTGAGTAGCAGTTGAGTGAGGGGCAACGACAGAGATCGGAGCAAGTGCATGACGACAGGGCACCAGAAGATGGAGCAGCCTATGCGCCAGACGGGATCGAGTGTCGGCACTGGGTGAACGTGCTACAAAGTCTGGTCGTCAATGGGGTTGCACTGGCATTGTGGTTGTCATGGATCGGGCTCGTGTGAGCTCTGCTACGTTGAGGTTCCGTTTTCCGGCTTCCAGATTTTGCCGTCTCTAGTTTTGTACGGTGCTTTCGTATCAGTTGAGATGAGATGGGGGTGTCATGTGCCAGTGGACGACAGCCAGTTGGTCCACAACACACTCGCACGGTCTCCAGAGATATGTGCCGATATTGGGGGAGATGTTGCACACCTGTACTGTTGCCATAGTACTACCCACCACCACACGCAATGTATGACGTACTTTCTCTGTGGTAAAAGTGGCTACCTACTGCTCGTTGTGCTATACTCAGCTCCATCGCAACATAGCGTCGTCTGATGTGTCTCGGCTCGCGTCGCACCTCGAACGAATGTCCATATTGTAACAGCATCGACAAAGCATGTCGTGAGCCAATGGCCACTCGACGTATACTTCGATCGATGAGATCTAGTCCAGCGACTACCATGTCCAACAATGTCCAGCACCACGCCGTGCAGTGTGAGTCCTGATCAACACCACAGCCTCTACGCACAACTTCCTACAAAGAGTAGAAGTGTGGTGCACGAAGGCCATGAAGCTTGCGATATCAAGCTCACTGTTTTCAAAGTAGTCGAAGGCGTGCGTAGCGACGCCGATGTTGCATCTAGCCATCGGTACCCTTTCGAATCCGAGGTAAGTGGGTGTATGTGACATCGAGCAGAGCTTGGCTTTCTGCCCCGCCCACAAGGTGGCACGTCTCGGCTTTAGCGCCTACTACACCATGGGCTGCCTGCTAAACTTGACAAGAAGCGACGATGGAATCGACCGGTACCGTTGCTCTGACTTGAAGAACAACGTTTTTCTTTCGAATGGAATCGGCTTTGACAATTGCAGCTCAAGAAACAAAAAAGTCGAAGTTACAGTATCAAAGAGTCGTCCCAAGGGTATGTATGGGCTGCACCGATAGCAAATGCGATGTGAGTCCGTCGAGTGTCTGCCTCGCATTTGCCCCCACGTCCATCTTCCAACCAGTGTGACAAGGGCCTCGTATCTGTATTGCGCTTCTAATGATACGTCTTCTATCTCAACGACGTGTGCGCAGCACTAGAGTGATGATCTACTCCATAGACACCTACAGTCTGTGGTTCGCGTCAGCGGTAGAATTGTTCCGTTCGCACGTCCACCACTGCGCCTCCCGTGTACTGGCGTTCGGCAACGAAGAATGCTTTGTTTAGTACAGCTATCGCGTAGTGCGGCGACAATGTGCTCGTGCCACCGAAAAAATGAGTGTCCCTTATTATCGATCCACATAAAAATATAAGCCTATATTAATAAATACACGTTGGATATAATTTAGAGCGTAATGTAAGGGAGGTTATAGGAGCCAAAAGACACAACAAAGAGATCCAGAGGAGAAGTAGCGTTAGCGGCAAAATAATCCGTCACCCTCGTTGATGCATGAGCGGCAAGCAGCAAACGAGATCTTCATACACGCCGAATATGACAGCGAAAACGGCAACTGTCGTTCCTATCTTGTCGCAGTCAAGGTCAAGCCAGCCACACTTAGCCCTCCATCACGAATATTCTAGTTTAGCGGGAATGCTAACTTAGTGGCAGCAGAAGGGAGAAAGAGCATGTCTCGGACATGCCACTCGTAAGGTAAGATGTCGCGACGTGACGACGAGGTGACGAGACTATTGTATGTTGGGTGAGTCTGTTGCATAAAGGTTGACATGTACTCACAAGTTGAGGTAGAAATTATCGTACTTAGCGAACGATGTTCAGCTATAATGATACCGACGACAATATTGATAAGATGTTACATTTGAAGGCGGTGCCCTCAAATGTTGACAATACGCTGCGCATCGGCCGTATAAGCTATGATAACATCCAGCTACGTCAAAGATGAATGATGGGCACTTGCACTGGGTAGGAGACAGGTAGTCAACATAAAATTTCTCAATCATGTAACTATAGCAGCTTTTCCATGGGTTAATCATAAGCCTGACTTGCGCTGAATACAGTTTCGATACTTCCATCAAGCAAATCTTATAGCATTATCTTTTTTTGATACCTCGTACCCAACTGAGTGCGAGATCTTGAGGCCCGTGTCCTTAGTGTTATCCGTACAAGTAGATTACACTGTCATGCCCACACATGCGTGAGGTACCCCGTTACATCCGGTAGCACTTCTTCGTGGTCCGGCAACAAGAACGGACCACTCTAAAATTCAGATGATGTGTGAGGACATCTCGTACGCCATGGCGCAGAATTCGCTCATTCGAGTAATATCAAATAGAGGACTGTCTTATGAATGAAGTTGACCACAGGTGGTACAGCCATCATGTTGCTAGCGCTAAATTGATCCAAGCAATGCCTTGATCCAGTATTAATGTTCTGATTCGAAAGGACTGTTATGCAATAGTGAGCAAATATTATTATTGATGTACCGTCGCGTCGCGTTGACCGCGCGCTTAAATTTCGACATCTTCACGCTCGAGTCATTCGAAGAGACTCCTTGATTCGATGGCTCGTCGCTTTCACGATGATATCGAAGTTCATCCTAACCAGCGCGGTGCAGTGAAGGTGAAGTTGGCATGACCAAGCTGTCTAGACGTGCCCAGACTTGAGCATATACGCTCAAGCTGCGCAATATAATTGGGTATGGTGTGTACGAGACCTTCTACGTGCGGCTCGGACAACTGTGTTAGCCGCCATGCTCCAGGTCCGTGACTCGATCTAATCTTCTCGATTCGGTGAGTCTAAGAGTAATTCGTACCTGTACGCTCTGCGCACACAGTACCTCCTTAGTTCTACACTAAGAACTGTATACCTAATTGTTGAGACGGTTAGACGAGTGTCTATATGTATTGCGGTCCCATTTCGGGCAGAATCCGGATTGAACTTTTAGTATACATGTGTGGAGTCGACAGAAGATCTCAGTTATTTATCAATAGTTGTTGTACAATCCATTTCGCCTCGCAGACTCTAGGAGCCAAAAGTAATTCGATCATTTTGACCTTCTTCCGTCGGCGATCTGTGGGTGTAGTCATAACATTCACAATTGAGTACTACGCTTTCACCGCAGTTTATAACGGGTAACCTCTTTGATGGTAGCCTGAACTTACATGAGCATCGGCATGAATAACGCGACGGCCCGAGTAATTTTTTTACAAAGCCGGTGGATGTCCAATTTTTTTGTTGGTACCCATAGACGCCGCAACAAACTATGCTTCGGTGGTAGACAGTTAAACCGCCTCTTGGTTTTGATTTGCTATGCATTCTTACCATGATTACACTGACAAAATTTCGACCTTTTTATTGCCCGCATAGTCCTCGTCTGTCACGGTTGCGAGATAAATGGGCTTCAAACGTCGTCGACTTCATGTGCAGTATTAGATGTATCTTGCCCGCGATACCAATCTGTTCGGGTACAGTGAGCTTCCCAATGGGGTTTCCAACTAAGGACTAGAAGGGCGTAGCCGTCGAGTGTTCTGAAGAGTCGAAACCACCTGTAGGTAGCAAGGCTTTCTCATCATCCACCCAATTTTTCTGAAGTCCAATCAAAACTCAGGTATAGATTGGATCATCCAACTCGTGGCGGTGAGCACCTCCTTCACAACTAGTTCCTGATCCAGCGCATACTCATCGTTACGGTTATATGCGATCTTCATCCCGAATTGATTTTGGCCTATCTAGATCTTTGAAGCGCACTTACGTCGTTTTGTTATGTGACAAGAAGATCGGCGGTGCTCTCAGCGACTAAGAGGTCGTCGACATACACTCCCACAAGAGGGACTTCTCCGTTACATATGCCTGCGGGGACGAAGAAATCATAAAGAAGAAGTGACAACGAACAAGATTTACAGCCAGACTGACCTTACCCGCCAGATAATGGTACATAGCCTGTTATGGAGAATTGGATCGAAATTGGTGTGAGAAATGAACTGAAGAATGGATACTGTGGTACCCGGACAAGGGACAAAGTTTGACGGTTGAAACACGACTACTGGATTCGATCCGAGATCAATCCCGACCTGAGTCAGGGGTAGGGGATCAAGGAGCTACGATGTACAAGAGGCAGGGTGATTCGATGGAAGATATGTTGCGGGTGCCTTTTTCATAGAAATGCTAGGTCGTAGGTCTAGCCATTCGTTCGGCTAACATCAAATATAGTTCAATTTACTTTATAAGACACGGGTCATCGCTTACGGGATGGATCTTTGACCTCCCGAAAAAAAGTTACGCCTCTTGTCTATGCAATTATCGCACCTGAATGTTTGGCCAGGTGCGTACAAGACTCTCACATCATCACAACAACCGCGATAAGACGCAGCAAGAAAGTAAGGTTGATCGAGGTTGCGGGACGGCTTAAGTGGTCAGAAGATCAAGAGGATCAAGATCTACAAATAGTGCAGGGCGATCTCGTTGAGATCTAGGTAGCTCATATAGAGTACCTACAAGTGGCCTGTGATTGCATAAAGATTTTCACGCGATCACCATAGTCCCAAACACAGTCAAGTTTAGCGTCAAAACCAGTCCACAGCG